TTGTCGTCGTCCGCGGCGGAGAGGAAGTTCTTGGTCTCGGCGGCCGTCAGCACCCGGGCCGAGGGCGAGAACCGCTGGAGGAAGAACCTGCGTGGAGCCGACAGGGGGAAACAGGGCGCGGCATGACTTTCCCGCAGGAAAAACCCCACTCCACTCCGGAGGATTATCCCCGGCATCCGACAGCTCCCCCCCATGCAAATGCGTGCGCGGTCATTTGCAAGGAAAAGCGCCTGCCCACCCCTACTGATCTGTGCTGTGAACAAGTCACACTGCTGACGTGTCTGACCTGGACTCTTAAACAGGAAGTTCGTGAAAAAAACTGCCTGCCACACGTAACGACATCGGACACAAACATCCGGAATTCCAAGCATCGGTGTTCGGCACAGCTCTCCACGAGGGAGGACATGAGTTTTGGTCAGAAAAGAGAAAAAAGTGACCCCTCAACTCGTCTGCTATAAAGAAGCTCTTGTGAGAGTGTGGAGAACCCAAGCAGAAAGCGCCCACTTAAAATCCCCCCTGTACTCAGACACCACGCGAGATGCCACTGGGGCCTGTTCTTGTGCGGACAGAAGACACACAGAGAGGGGCAGATCGACTGACTTCAGCTCCTCCTCCTCGATGAAGCCGCTGGCGTCGTTGTCCAGGATGCGGAACACATCCTTCACCTCCTGGGGCGACTTCTTGGTCAGGCCGCACAGCTGGAAGAACTTTTTCTGGTTGAAGGAGTCTGGAGCTGGTTGGGGAAAGAGAAGACGCGGGAAGACACGGTTCACCTCCGAGGACAGCGCCGGCCGAGCGAAGACATTCCACCACGTCCTGCAGACGGGCTGCTTACAGCGCCTCCGAGGGGCATACAACCTTCAAGAGCAAGTCCACTGTGCCAGGACTAGGACAAACATCACAGACTGTGAAAGTGTTTTTTACTCGATTATTTACAGTAACCACAGATATTAAAATCAAGTATTCCACGTCATCATAATTTTAACCCCATTTGGGAGCCACACATTGAGAAAAGACAGAACATCTCTTCGTTTTGTTCTTTCCACTCCAAGAGCATGTAGATACCATGTAACATCACTCCAGTTCTCAGTTCATCTGTGACCGTCTCTTAACAACCTCTTAGCATTATTATTGCTGTTATAAGCCACTTAAAATACTACCTTTGCAAGAAGGGTAAGAATTTCACTATTATCACATCTGTTGATTCTTTATAAACACATCTGATACTAGAATGCAATTCTAAAAGCCATTTATAACTCCTCCTCTGAGGTGTTACCTACAAGTCTGTCCATGTGGTCAGAAATGTAGCTGTTAACGAGAGGCCTGTGTGGCTTTTCTGATGCACTGAGAAACACATTTAGTTTGGTGAGAAGCAAGAGGATTACAAACACAGAATCAGCCTTGTCACTCCGCTCCCGGAGTGAATCTTACTCATTCACTTGGAGATCATTTCACAGACGCACACTTTACAGAACTGAAGTTCTGTTTCTCCAGAGAGCACCCAGCCTTTCACGGTTTCCCGAGTGGCACACTCGGTGCGAGGCTTTGCCGGCCTCTGTCCAGCGCTAATCGAGGGCAGCGTGAGAGCTCGTGCCCCAGGGCGCGTCTGTCCGTCACGGCCCGAGGATACCGGGACTCGTCCCGTCCTGTCTGACGCGCAGAGAATGACTGATTCTCTGTGACACTGAACACAGAAGTATTCGCATCCCAGAATACCGCTCTTAAGCGCACCCTCCGTCCTCATCGTCTGTGACATCTTCACAGATAATGAGGATCTTGTATCTCGCTTCACGGGAAACCTGCAGCAGTTACGGCACGATACCTTGGCAGTCTTTCAGCGCTGCTTCAATGGCATCCGAAGAAAGGATAGAATTCAGAGACATGTTAAACCTGTGAAAGACAGGAGAGTTTCGAATCAATCGCTATTTTATTTTTCTAATAGTCTCTATAAGAAAGCCTTTAGTGCCACCTGTTTACCTCTCGCGGCTCAGGAGCTTTCCTGCTCTAATCCAGCGGTTTACGAGCTCAGTGCTTTTCTTTGCCTTTTGCTTTTTAATCTCTGGCGCCGCTAGCTTTCCTGCAAAACTCTGTTAGCTTTAATAGTAAAAGTTTTTTTTTTTAAAACTTGTATAGTTAACTTTGATACAGTATCTGTTTCAGTCCTCCTACATTCCTGCAGACCAATCAACTCCAAAGCAAAAACAAAACGCAACTTTTCACGACGGTATACAGGTAAATACCATTTTACTGCTATGACAATAACAAGATATATCGTTGGCTGGGTAAAGATAACCAAACTACCTCACTGTAAGTCAGTTTGCCAACTGTCTGGTTGACGTCTCTGAAACGCACGCGTTTTCCCAGCTTCTCGCTCATAAAGGAGTTAGGAGCTGTCCTCCATCGCGTTGAGACGCACCCCTCCCCTCCGCTCCGTTCTCAACACAGAAGCAGGTCGCGCAGAATCAGGAAGCGCGGCGCCGATAGGGTACACCTGCAGGAACGAGCCGGACCCTGCGGTGCCCCCCGCCCCGCCTCACGAGAGCCCCCGCTTACCGCTTGTGGAGGTCTCGACCAGCCGCTGATGCAGAAGAGCAGAAGGGCGATATGTGGTTCGTGCTGTCGGCCAGGCTCGATTTATATAGGTCTGGATGCAGGACAATGGGAAATACTTCAGTTACCTGCGCGTGTATCAGGTTCTAGTGCGAGACCCCGTTCAAGTTTCTTACCTACCTAATTAACCCGCGCGGAACTGCATGCAAACACAGACATTTGTATAGCTCGTGTGAATGGTAAATTCGGTGACGACTGCTTGCTGGCCATCTTTCCTTTTGCAATCACAGCAAAAGATCGACAATAATATTATTACATGACCAGATGCTTAGCCTCTGGGTTCGGCTGTCCAGTGCACATTATATTTCATTATATTTGGGTGAAATTAAAAAAAAAAAATGTTGATATGCATTGTGCAGCAAGCCTTTAAGACGGAGAACGACACCGCTAGTTTTGGTGTTTTTGCTGAACTAAAATGTGCACCTTTACCGAGCACGAGCTAGGCTTTCGGGTATCGATTTTCAGTCTGGACAAAGCGAATGCCACTCTGAATATGCGCTTGTGCGTGTAATGCTGACAATGCGAAATAAAAACACACGAATAGTCGGATTTATTTTTCGCTTTGAACTCCCGCGGCGCGAGAACGTCGCACCCTGACGCCTCTCCTGTTGTTCATGGAGGTGTCGGCAGTGTTTTCACCCCCTTCCGTGCGGAGGTCATTATCGCTGAGCCCCTCGGTCCATAGTGAGCAAGCGACACGGCCCTTCTGTAAAGATGACGTGTTGAGTGATGAAGAAGAGCTAGTAAGCGATTCTGTTTAAATCGGTTTAGCTGCTTCTGTAAAAGTGAAGAACTAAGATAATGAGGAGGACGATTGTGATGATGAGCTACTGCATGAACAGACGTCATGATGCATTTCTAAATGTAGGCTTGTTATAGGCTGTATATTCTATGTTGTGATAAAAATCAAGTAAAATTATTTTGTTGCATGAAAGACTGTTGATATCAGTACAGTTGTCATACTGGTAATGCACAACACAGCGGTCAGGAAGCTTCACCGTACAGTACAGGTACAGCAGTATAGGTTAATATGTGTTTCTAGGCTAGAGATTACACTGATCAAGTGTGCTTTCTTTCTTTTTTGAATTAATAATAATAATAACGGTAGTGATAATGTTGATGATGACAGCAAGATCTCCAGATCCGTGAACTCCTTGTGCTGGAGTATTTCTGTGACCAGGTAACAGCTCTAGGAAGGGCAGCTATTCACCTCTCGCTCTCTGGATCTGCTTTCCCTTGGCGCAGGGTGGCTGCCGTTGAGCAGGTGTGAGCCTGGAGGGGATACACACCAGACAAGACAGTCCATACAGTGGATGTGCTTTTTATTACAGTCTGTCCGTCCAGCGGTTACAATGCCTGTTAATGCCTTCATGATACACAGGACACAGGACAAGAGACACACACTTAATAAATAATAATAATAATTATTTTTCGGGCCCCTAGTGAACGGATAACCCAGGATTGTTATTTCTTCCGTGCTGCACTTTCTCGTCCCCTCTCGCAGTCCACAGGGTTGCAGGAGCGAGCAGCTCGCGGAGGCTGATGTCACCATTTAGACGGATACCTCGCGAGCTATACTGTTACCGCGCGATCATTTATTCATTGGCGTGCGCCAGCCTCCTCGGGGCCCCGTCTGCGGGCCCGGGGCGCTTGGTCTGCAGCCTGGGGGGGTCAGCCCGCAGTGTGACCTGCCAACAAGCACGCCCTGTATTGTACTGTGTGAACGCAGATTGTAGGCTGGAACAGAGGGGCATTACTGTGTTTCCAAATCAATCATTTTTAAATCGGTCTTTACAAAGCTTGCTTTATTGCCTTGAGGTCGCGGAGTGCTTATTGGTTGTCATGCTGTTGTGAAGTTCGGTCCTCTTTATGTATATATATTTTTGAATTTCATCATGCGTGTGGTCTTGGCGAAGTCTCGGAACGGATTCTGCAGGAGCCCGAACGCTTTCGCTGGGGGACTTGCTGTTGGCGACTGGCAAACTGCACCGATTTGTTGAAAGACTTCAGGTGCAGGCCAGCTTGCCCCCAGTACCCGTCCTGCCTGTGCCCCAGGGCCGCGCTGGGAAGCGAGAGGTGTGCCCTCACACTGACTCGGCCCTGGTAGCACACATGTGTGTCCCTGCAGAGACTGCGGAGTGCCCTGGCGCCGGCTGAGCGCACTCTGACTGGACAGGTATCAAACGTCAGCATAACGTCATCCTCTCCGGCTCATGTTGGACAGCTGTGTGTTATATAATACACTTCGGAGAGGAAGGACAAGCAATACAATCGCTGATCCGTGAAATGTATCTTCCGAGACCTTCGTTGTTCATTGCGGACAGGCCAGCGGAACGATCAGACTTTCCACTCGTGTGCAGAGGAGACAAGTTTAAACTGTAATACGTCCTATGTCAAACCCACTGACTCCTTACTGGTTGGTCGAAGATCATCAATCACTCTCCTCAGATTTACTAGAGCGACCCTGAGCCCATATTTCAAACCAGGGTGGAGAAGCTGCAGTCTCTGTTTTGGGATGTGATCTCTGTCTCCGCGGTAGAAAATAAAAACAATGCTGCCTTTGGAGATCACGTGTGAATAACTCCACATGAAGTTCGGTTCAGTGTATTTGTCACAAGCACACGTGCAATGAAATGCTTATTTGCACGTATTTCATGATACAAAGACATTATGGAAACGCCAAAAACATAAACACAGAACAGCAGCAGCAACAACAACAACAACAACAACAACAACAACTAAGTTTAATAACATACAACTTAAATACCCGTCAGCCGAGCAGTGTGAGAAGAGAAAAAACATCAGAGAGCCCTAGGCAGGGGCAGAGTTCAGTCATCTGACAGTTTGCGGGAAGAAGGTGTCTCTAAATCTGGAGATTCGTGCCTTTATGCTCCTATAATGTTTCCCAGGAGGCAGGGAAGAGAAACGTGAGGAACAGGGCGGGTGGTTTAAGGGGTACCCCATCTTCCGGTACCCTTCTAGGCGGGTGGGTATGAATAAACATTTAGGAACGGGCCACGAGACGACTCCTGGGAGTGAGAAAATCCACTCTCCCCTCTCTGAACTGGCCCCATCGCTGCTCTGCCACTGTGAGCTGGGGTGTGGGGGGCGCACTGGTGCTGCACACTGGTGGTGGTGGAGGGGTGTCCCCATTACCTGCAAAACCCTCTGAGTGGAGTGTCCAGAAAAATCGCTACAGAAGTGTAAGCAATTATCATTATTGTTATTATCCTAATTGCTGCAGGAAGTGCCGAGCCAGTCAGCGCTACCACCCTGGGCACGATCATTCTTTTGAGTGACGCGCCACCTGGTGGCCGAATGACGGTAACACCGGGCTCCGATAAAGGACTCGTTGAGTTGTACATTTTAATCGGGGGGCTGTCAGTTCCTCCTCGTATTGCCGCGCGCTTTTCTTCATCAGGATGTCGGTCATGGTGGACGGAAATAACCGGCCTACTTGACATAAACACCGGAGGCCGGGGTTCGCCCGCTCTGAACCTCTGAATAAACTAAATCTAGAATTTGGCGTAAAAGTCTTGAACCTCTTTGAATTCGAAACGATGGAATTTCCCTCTTTAGTTTTTCCCTCTTTGATGTGGAACCCGGCAGTAACTATCCCCATCTCGCCAAGAACACGAAAGCGCAAAATCTGATTGCGCACGGCCTTTCGGTTGAATTAATCAGCGTTCGGTCTGGACATGAAACTTAGAAAACGGCGTTTCGACGCGTCAGTGAGTACCATATCCTTCTTTGGATCTGCATGTGTGTGGAATTTCCATAAATGTTCAGGCGTGGGAGAGGGGATTGGAGGGGAAACGGCACGGCAGCGCGAGGAGTGGAGCCTTCGGCAGAGCTCTGCACACAGGGCTGGTCTTAATTATCCGACGGTGGCTCTGTGGCTCAGGATCTGCGCCTGTTCCTGGAAGGCTGCCGGTTCGTATCCCGCGGCCGGCAGAGGAATCCTACTACATTGGGCCCCTGAGCAAGACCCTTCACCCCAGCTGCTCCAGGGGTGCCGTATAAATGGCTGACCCTGCGCTCTGACCCCCAGCTTCTCTCCCTGTCTGTGTGTTTCATGGAGAGCAAGCCGGGGTCTGCGAAAAGACAAATTCCTAATGCAAGAGATTGTATATGTCCAGTGATCTTGTATCTTAACTTATAGAGTGACGCTGTGATTTAACCCTAAGCAGCCTCAGGCTGTAACTCCCCTGTAAGGCAAAAGAAAACCAACCCAGACAACCTATTGCAAAAGAATGTTTATTCTTTTCTTAACGTTTCCGAAAAGTGCATCATAGATTTTACATTTAGCAAAATTCATATTTAAGACATGAAAAACAACCGCGCAACAGTAACAGTGATCGGTTTTTGGATAATGTATTGCGTGCGGAGAAAAGGTCTGCGGGCATTTTCAGAAAGCACAGGTATAAAAATGATTTCCAGTTCGGCTGACAGGGGAGGTCTCGGGCAATGTTGTTCCTTCAACGCAAAAGGTGTTGGTCGTTGCTGCTTATGCCTTCACCAAAGCTGCGAACTCTGCAAGACAGAAAGCAGTTTTTAACAGAACACCTCGCTATCTTAATCATCACGTTCTCGTGACTTCAGGAAAAAAGTTATTTAATAACAGGGCGTGTAGAAAACAAAAATAAAGCAGCAAGCTGTACAGACAAGTAGAAGATAAAACAGGACGAGATATTTATGTTCCTGATATCTTTTATCTATCCTGCATGAAGAGATCGTGTTACCGAAGGGTTTCCGCCCTTGCCCAGCGAGGATAACGGTAAGGTTCTGACGTCTTTGGATCGCCCTTAAAATGAACCAACAATGCAGTCACGCATAAAACGGCGCGCCATCGGCGTTTCAGACGCGCAGCATTGCAATGAGAGTGATTATCAATCAGAGAACTTTGGGGCATTTGCCTTGTTGGATGATATTCTATTTCCTAATATTTCCACACCGCCCGGCCGTTTTCTAAGCGCGTTATCCAGTTCGGAGTCGTGGCGGAGCCGGAGCCCAGCCCAGCCAGCAGGGGTCGCCCTGGTGCTCTTTCTCCTTAGTAGTAAGTCAGTAGTAAGCCGCGCGTTAGTCCTGTCTCACCTTGAGCACAGGTCGCTGCGAGCTATGAACGCAGGCTTCATCCGTGCCTTACAGGCGAAACTCACGAGGGAAAACTCAGCTGTCTGACCCTTCATATACTTCCACCCGACACACTTATTTACGTCCGTTGGTGTGATTTTCAGGCATCTTACCATCCACTCCGATCTTGCCGTCACCGTCGGAGTCCCCGGCGGCCAGGAAGGCCTTGGTCTCGGCGTCGGTCAGGACTCTGGCGTCGGCCTTGAAGTTCTGCAGGAACAGCCTGGTGGAGAAGCAGGAGAAGGGGCCCAGCGGGTGAGTCTTAATGGTCTCCAGTAAAGGAGAGCAGACAGTGTCGTGGTGCTCTACTAAATCACGCGCGTCTCCTGTCCGCTATTCACGGGCTCTGCACCCGACGCGACGTCACAACAATTGAATGAATATGGGCCGCGGCGGGAATATTATTCAGGGCAGGACACGCTGTGTCCAGCTGAGACAGACGAGATGAAGAGGCTCCCTTACTTCAGCTCGTCCTCCTCAATGAAGCCGCTCTTGTCCTGGTCCAGGACAGCGAAGGCCTTCTTGACGTCGTCGGCGGACCTGCCAGCCAGGCCGACCTTGGCGAAGAAGGTCTTGTAGTTGAAAGAGTCAGCGGCTGTGGGGAAAAACGTACGAGTTTATTATGTTCGGGGTTTTTTTATGTTGTTGTTGTTGTTGTACTACTGCTAGTCGCGGTTGTAATGAAGACCAGTCGTTTAGTCCTGCAGTATATTTCAGAGAGCATGAAGATACACATGTGCACACTTGACTATGCCGAAGCTACCCAGTGGAGTAACTGTTTGCGGCGGAAGCGCGTTCATGTGTTGAGCGGTTATCTGCCCGTTTGCATTTGATACCCCGTGTGCTCCGCGCGCAGTCTCGAGCCTCCTGATTTGGGCGCCCCTCACCTCCCCCCCCCAGGCTGGGAGTACCCCGGCTGGTTGCGCCGCTCTGGGGGAGACCCGAACCCCGATCCCGAAGCCCTCTCCCTGGTTACCTTGGCATGCCTGCAGGGCTGCAGCGATGTCTTCATCCTTCAGGATACCGGCGAAGGCCATTTTGCTGTAGCTGCCGAAATAAAGGAATTCAGATCATCAGCACCTGCGTGGAGCGGCCCCACGGGCACCAGACACCAGGCACGCGTCCCTCCCTAGGGCTAATACAGATCGCACCTGCGTGGGCACTGTCCTGCTTCACACTCTGACTCGTGTTAAGCTTCGTTAAAAGTACACGTGCTGAAAAATAATTTTTAAGTCTCGACTGGGGCAAAGACACAACTTGGGGGAAGATGTCGTTGAGCCGAAACTCCAGCCCAGCTGTCTGCGAATCTGCAGTTGAAGGCCCTGGAGCCGTTGCAGCTCTGGCCGAACCTGAGCACCAGACTGTCTTATTTTCCACGTGTGATTAAAAAAAAAAAAGCCACCAACATTAAAACGAATAGTAAAAAGGAGATCTTCTAAAGACGCCTGGTGTTTTTCTCATGGCTGCGATCCGCTGGTCTGTCTCGGAGCCGGGAGTGCAGTAGGACCGCACCCCCAGACCCCCGGACTCCTCAGTCTAACTCACCTTGGGCGTGTGCTCGGGCGGGAGAGGGATCGAAGAATGAGTCCAGCAACTGCAGTGATCTCTCCCCCGGCGCGCTCAAGCTTATATACTTGCGCGGAGTCGAAATATGAGGCATAAGGTAATAGACACCACAGGGTATGGTTAAAAAATGTGTCCAGTAGTCAAACCGGTCTATTTTTAGCTTCATAAATGAAGATGCTTAAAAGGCGGGTGTTTGTAAAAGTCCTTAATATTCTGCAATGCTAATAATATACGCTGCTGATATAGATGAAACGCCAGTTGCTGGCGATTCAGATTTTATCCCGGTGTGAAGCGCAGACTTCGTGCGAGATAAGCACTTCAGCGCTGTCGCCTGACAGCCTCTCGGGAGACTAACGCAGAGGAATGAAGTCCTGTTTGTTTTCGTCTTTTTCCTCAACAGATTGCCGTATTATGGTGATTGATATTTTCCCATGCACATTCTTAAATTACTCAGTATCGTTTTGCTTTTCGTCTAAAGGTGCTAGGACATAGAGCAGGAATAGGGAGCAAGGTTTGTGGCTGTAGGAAAAGAAAGCGTAAGTAAATTTGTATCTTCTACTGTTGAGTTGTTTGGTATCTGCTCGTGGTTTGTATATTTGTCGCCCAAATCTTGGATTAATCTTAAACAGATATTGGATGCATATACACTGTATGATTCTCATTCTTGGGGCACTTGGTTTTTAATGTTTTAAACTTTAAAGACATCCTAACCGTGTTTTGATTAAGGCATAATTAAGCTACACGGTATAAGGACTTTATCAGTGATAGTGACAGTGGTGATGAGCGTTTTGTGAATGAATTTGACAGCCTGTCTTTTTCAAGACTCCTATAAACTTGCTCTTCCTCCGATTTGAGTCGATTACAATTAGTTAATCTGTACGTTTGTCTTTTTCATTCTCTAAGATTGGTTTTGGTAAACACCCGTAATGACACTGTCTTTTTAACCTCGCTGCATTTCTTGGTTTTGGATTTTAAAGTCACGGTCACGTTTTCCCGCGAAGGAGTGAGCTTCTGCATTCATCTATAACCGTCCCCTTAAACAGGATTACTGTAGAAATAGGATTACTGGAGAAACAGGATTACTACAGCAATGAAGCATCTGCAGTGGTATCAAAGAACAGGCAGGGTGCGAACTGGGAGGCGGCTGGTTGAGTTACCGAGTTCGGAAAATAAACCCTAAGGGTTCTCCAGCCTTTCCTCTGTTGACAGAAGACAGTTAATGTCCACACGCACAGTGCCCTACAGCTGTGTATATCAAACAGTTTCACTGTGCAAAACCATGTAAAACAGGACTCTGATATGCATGGTATTCAGGCGGCTCGGAACAATTTATAATGCTTTAGGAGCATTATATCGTTCAATGAAATATCAGCGGCAAACACAGAGTCAAATCCAGTTCTAGAGTTGCGCGCAGTATTTGGAGTATGATAATGAATACAGTAAAAGAGCATTTGTTTGTTTGTTTTTTTTGCGACCCTTTCTGTTTTAATTCTCACGAGTGGCTGTTTCAGTCGCTCATTTTTTCTAATCCTCCGCTCGTCAGCAGGGGTCAGCACCGACACCCCGTGGCGGCAGCCTCGGCTTCAGGTCGCCGAGAGAGACCAGGGGGAGCGCGCCTGTGCTGAACGTGTAACAGGAGTTTAGAGCTTTCTCATTTCCCAAATGCCTTCTGCAGTACTGCACACCCGCTGGAACAGGTGTAGTGTCTGACTAGGTTAACAACACAGGATGAACACAAATATCGGATTTAGTACATTTATTTGTCACGGCTGAGACCTCCAGATTTTCACAATGTATGTGAATCGAATGCGGGCTTTATCTCCTGTATATCAGTCATTTCTGATGATATGATTTCAGATTTATTAAGAAAGTGTCTTTGCAACTTTTTTACTCCGTCCTGTGTATTACGATTGTAAACCTCTTTTAAAATAAAAAAATGAAAGAATTTCAAAACAGCAGAGCCTGTTGTTTTTCCATTCCTTTGCACCAGTAACACTGCCTACATGTCCTTATAACAGAGTGAAATATTTACAGTTACAGATGACCTCACATCACTTTCAGTGGCTGCTTTTCCAGTTCAGGGTCACTGTGGCCCAGAGCCACATTGGCACCACACAGGGCACACCCTGCACTGGACAACCCCATCACAGGCCACACACACCCCTATCAGGGCCAGTTCTCCCAGAAGCCAGTTCACCTACTAGCATGTCTTTGGACTGTGGGAGAAAACCCACATGAACATGGAGAGAACATGCAAGCGCCACACAGACAGCACCCCGGGAATTGAACCCACAGCCCCAGCACTGCGAGGCAACATGCTACCCACTGTGTCGCTGTGCCACCACCAAACAGTGGCTCATACGCATACAGAGAGCATTATTTTGATCATTTGAGAATGCCAAGACACTAGACAAGACACACCATAGTTAGGATGAAACTCCCTCTGTTTGAGCTCTGTGCACTACAACCTTCCCTACATGCTGTTATACTGTCTAGTGAGGAAAGGGAAGATACAGTATTTCTTCACAGTGCTATTATCACTGTCCCGAACTGTGTTTTAATTTTGCCTGATCCCTACCTAAGCCTCACCACAATCCGGCTTGCCGGAGCTCTGTATGGGAGAACTGACCCTGCGTCTGGAGTAGGAGGCATTGCTGAGTGCACTGGCCTGCAGGTCTGCTCTACACTTTGTGTGAACAGCTAGCTGGCTTTCTGACATATCACAGTCTTAAGGGATTCCATAGTGAGGCACCAGCATACTCAGGCAAAGTCAGGGTTTGTCTGTAAGCACACAGGCTGCATCAAAACAATGTATTCCAAAAGAATCTTTATTCCTTTGTTTTCCATACCTTTTCTTAAAAGTGCACAGAAGATTTTACATAGCACAATTCATGTTTAAGACATAAAACACAACTGAGCTACATTTACAATCATTGTTTTTTTCCGGACGGCGTTCCTGGGCTCCTTTAAAGAGAAAATCTCTGCGGGCAGTTCATCAAGCAAATATAAAAAGTATGTATAGTTCTGCTTGAAGAGCGAGGAGGTCTTCAATAGTGTTGTTTCTGGTTCCATGAAAGAAGAGGTGTTGGGTCTTGGTCAGCTGTTTTTTATGCCTTAACAAGGGCAGCGAACTCTGAACAAGGGGGAGAGAAAATAAGTTTTAGTTTCTGTTCGACACAAAAGACCGCGAAACTCCACTGAGTAGCGTACTGCTGTTTGTCGGGAATCCTGTTCAAGTGGATGATTTTGTTTTTGTGTAGACAGGCCACTCTGAAGCCACGGGAGCCGATTTGTAAGTTTTGTGAAGGTACCTGCATGCGCCTCATGGGGCAGTGGCTGGTACAGATGGCACAGATATGTTCATATCTGTGTGTGCTAGTGTGTGTGTCAGCGTGTGCGCTTGTGCCTGTGCGTGTGTCCGCTCATGTCTGTGTGATCGTGTCTATGTG